ATTGCGGAGAAGACAGTTTAAGAAGTTAAGATCTCATGTTGTCGATATATTTTGATAGGGCTTGAATGCAAGCGAACGCAAGCAACCGCATGCATTGTTCTAAGTGGGGGGTGGTAAAAGGTGAGGCATTCCGCAGAAGCCAGAGAAGCCTTGTTTATTGAAAGGAAAGGAAGGAGAAAAGATCAGAACGTATTGTTGCTTTTGTTGCATGTTTCTTCATTTGGAAGAAATGTTTGCTTGGGCCTTTATTTGTGAAGAAGCTACGAGGTGGAGGCCATCGCTATTAAATAGGTTGAAGGCCATTACACTAGTAACAAGAAGCTGATTAACTTGTTGGTATGTCTTTGAAGCTTTCTAGTAAGAAGAAGCTTCCTTGGGAATCGTTTCACCTGTAGTAACAAGAAACTACTAGGAATGTCTTTGTCTTCCTTGGCTCTAGCAGAAAGTCCTGCAAGGCGGTGAGCCATCATCAATGGTGCGCTGTGCTGTGTGAACATTCTTTGCAACTGCTCAAAGAAAGAAGGTAAGGGCCCTTGGTAGCGTCCTTGCTCCTAGTAGCGATGCCAAGAGCCCCTAGTAGCTTCTTGCTCCTAGTAGTAAGGCCAGGAGCCCCTACTAGCGTCCTTGTTCCTAGTAGCAATGCCCTTTGTTGCTAGTTGCGTACGGGCCCTTGGTTAAAGGCATGAGTGGCCCTTTTTTCTCAACACCGTTCATCGTTCAGCCTCGTCTGGCTTTGGAGATCCCTCACGCCTTCAGGTACCAAGAGAAGTTTAAGGATGAGTATCCGCAGGACAGGAAGAATCCACTTTTAGGATGCCTTTGAACCTCCTAGTAGCTTCTTGTTCCTAGTAGCGATGCCCTTTGCTCCTAGTAGCATTCTTGCTATAGCATGCGTCCATTTCTTTGGCGAAAAACCCGGCTATAAAGAACTTGATGCCAGGAACGAAAGGCGCTCATACCGTTCCTCTTCTGAGCCTTTGAACCTCATCCAAACACCCTTTTGCAGCCGTGAAGACGGCGCATTTTGCTAATGCCTAGGCACTTGGTCAAGGCAAGATACCCACGTGCGCGGCACAAAAGGTTTCAGTGAACCGTTTCAGCCTGACAAGAGGGTGCATTTTAGAAAGGGCGATTCCTCGTCTCAAGTGTGGTTCAGAGTACCCCCATGTAGTTGAGAAAACGATGCCTAAAAGAAGCTACTAGGGGCTCCTGGCATCGCTACTAGGAGCAAGGATGCTACTAGGGGCTCCTGGCCGTACTACTAGGAACAAGAAGCTACTAGTAACCAGAAGCTCCGATACTCCTGCTGCTTCTCGAGTCTTCATTGGTGCTGTCCCGGCCAAGAGTCAACACAATTCTTTACCCTTCTGGAACACAGTGCGTCTATCTTCAAGATCGGTGGGAGGGTGCTTACCAAAGCGTTAAGATAAAGAGGCCATCGCTACTAGGATCGGGGCCATCGCTACTAGGATGGAGGGCCTTAATATGTTGTATACTTCTTGGACAATGTAGTCTCATAGTAGCTTCTTGTTACTACTAGTAAGGCACTTGTTACTAGTAGCGATGATAGCTTAAAGTCCACCCGGAGCGGAGGTGCAGTATAGTTTTAGCTCGGGGGTTGCTAACGCTCAAGTGCACCGCTGGCGCAGGCCGGCCCGCCTGAAAGAGTAGAAAGTGGTTGTTTGGTGTTTTCTCTTGCCACTTGATATCCAAGCGGTTCAAGTGTTCATGGTGGTGAAAAGTCACACACTTGCGCTACAAAATTGTATGGTTGTGAGGCTGTGACTTCTTTTTGCTAGGAACACGCGCGTGCGGTTTCTCAACTTCTGTGTGCTACTGGCAAGAATGGCCCTTCTTTAGGTCATTGCTGTGACAATCTCCTGCTTAAGCACGAAGACTTTTCTAGCGTCTGAGCGGTTGCTACTGAACGACCTTGGGTCTGAAGGACAAGTATCCGTGCTCGAAGATGTTCAAAGAACCAGATTCCTTACCCTTCTGGAGCAGGCGTTTTCGATGACATCAATATTCATCCTTAGCAGCTTAAAAGGGGCCCCCTTCTCAATAGATTGTCAAGAATGGATACGCAAAAACCATGTGGCATATCTTTTTTGTGGCGCAGTGATGTTGTTTTATATGCTACCTCGTTTGGCTGTAGCAGTTGGATGTGTTTACGGAGCAATTGGCTCAGAAAAGCTGCAGAAGTTCTCCATAACATGGGGCTTTGCTTGAACGCAAACAAACCGACAGTTCAGAACCACCTGAAGATATCATTCCCCGCGACCTCACTAACATGCCTTGACTTCAAACACAACTCAGCCATGCACAGAGTCATCTCTGTGTTTTTGTCAAAAGTTCTAAAATAAGCACATACAACGTCAACATCAAATCATCTACAACAAGGAATTTGGATTCCACACTGTATTTGCGCGATGATTTCACAGCCAGCGCCTTCAGAAACAGCTGTTGTGGTGACGGAACCAGGAGTATTCGGCCCTGCAGGGGTTTTCCTAAAATTGGAATTAAGTAAACTTGGAAAGTTTGGTTCCTAAATGTTTGAGAACTCATAGCAATGGCCTCCCCCTAGTAGCTTCTAGCTACTAGTAGTAAGGCCAGGAGCTACTAGTAGCTTCTTGCTCCTATTTGTCATGCCCTTTGTTCCTAGTAGCTTCTTGTTCCTAATAGCAATGAGCAATGGCCTCCAACCAAATAGCAATGGCCTCCTACTTGTAGTGAGATTTGGAAAACTCTTGGAAACGTCAAGTCACCCGTGTCGGTGACTTGCGCACGTCACTGAGGTTTTATATTCTATCCCTTCGTGGTGACACCATCATCACTCGAGATTTCCGTGGTGATGTGGTAAAGGGCACCGCGGAGATCTTCTTTAGAAAAGTGACTTGCAAAGAAAGCGATGGCCTCCAACCTAATAGCGATGGCCTCCAACCTAAGAGGGATGGTAACCAACCTACTAGCGATGGCCTCCAACAACCTGGATTCACAGGAAACCAGTCATTTGGCACGTGCTATGAGTTCAAAGGTGAAGTTTTGGCATGGTGACGCACCACCAATCTTCAACCTCGATGGAGCTTGGATTCTCAGAGTGTTTTAACACAGTTCAAGCGCACGTGCTCAAAAAGGTGTGTTTTGGGTAGGTGTTTTACTTTGGCATGTTTTGGCCTCGCTATTAGGTTGGAGGCCATTGCTAGTAGGTTAGACCCCCTACATAGCGACCTAACCTAGTAGGTTAGTGTGTTTGAAAAGCACAATCACCAGCTATGCAGCCTGCAGATGCATTTCATTCCTCAGAGCAAAACTGATTGCTCTCTTCGTCTTCTCGCTTGTTCAAAGCGTCAAAGGTGACTTACGTATTCATCAAGAAGAATGGCCTGTGCGCTTCACAAGTGTTGCACTGACGACTAAACCAATGTGGTTGGAGGCCATTGCAATTAGGTTGGAGGCCATCGCTCTTAGGTTGGAGGCCATTGCAATTAGAAACAAAGAAACACGAAAAGGAAGAAATGTCTAATATAGTTTGCTATTAGGTTGCTCTTTCAAGCTCTTAGGTACTTCGTAGCCACGACTTGCCACAACATCCCCCCTGCAGCCGTGGTGGAGTTGTTGACCAAAATGGCGAAGGTCCGGTTTGGTGCCATAGTTGAGTCAGAACCGGAAGGCATCGGAATGCTACTAGTAACAAGTGCCTCCCTTCTAGTAACAAGTGCCTTACTAGTAGGAACAAGAAGCTACTAGTAACAAGTGCATCGCTTCTAGTAACAAGTGCCTTACTAGTAGTAACAAGAAGCTATTAGAATTAATTTAAAATTAACAAGAATGCTACCGGAAGGCATCGGAATGCCATCTAAAGCGCAAGCGGCCTTTTTGTTCGTCGGCCCCTAGTAGCTTCTTGTTCCTAGTAGCGATGCCAGGAGCCCCTAGTAGCTTCTTGCTCCTAGTAGCAATGCCCTTTGCTCCTAGTAGCTTCTTGTTCCTAGTAAGCAAAAGCTTTATGCATCTTGGGGTCGCGCAGGTCTTTAAAGATTTCTGCGGGGTGCTCAACGAAGAGAGCATCAGGTGGAAGATTTGTTGTTTTTCGTATAAAGCCTTCAATTCATGCATTCCAAAACTGGAGCCTTCAAGAATGCCTTCTTGCGCAAAGGAATGCTTTTTGTTCGCTGGTAGAGGTGTATTAAAGTGGAAGACCCAGCAGCCATTAGTAGAACGAATCATCAAGCTGAACAACTACTTGAAGAAGTGAACAGCAAATCACAAATGTCAATCCATGAAAAACCCTTGAAAGACCGCTTCACCTCATGTTCGCCAGGAAGAATTTTGTTTTGGTCTATGAGCTTCTGGACGAGATGGTGGACTACGGCCCGGACTGATAAGAAAAGCCAGAAGATCTTTCCAAGAATTGAGCCTTGCTTCCCGTTTCCGAGGTTACCCGCAAACCACCAACACTGAACATCTCAAGCCTGGGACTGATCGACCTCATAGACCGCAGGATGTTCAGATTGAAAGTTACACATGGGTGTTCCTTTAACTTAGCTAAGTAGGCGGCTACTTAATGAAGTAAAAGCTAGGTAGCTGCATGCTATTAGTAAGCTTACTGGTAAGGGAGACTCCACTGCTCAGCCGATAACACGTGTTCCCTCATCACCGCCAAAAGCAGGTCTTGCATTCACAACGAAGCTGTCGTCATTGAGGCGCCCAAGCCCGGAACCCCAGACGAAGCGGTGAACCGGGCTGTGTATATTCTTTTTTGTACTAGGAACAAGTGCCACGCTAGTAGTAACAGGTGCCTTACTAGTAGTAACAAAAAAGCTATTGGAATTAAATTTAAATTAATAGCTTCTTTTTTGTCCTCCTCCCTTTTGGCAGGAACCGAATAGCGATGGCCTCCTCCCTATCTACTTATTCAAATAGGCGCCTACTTAATCATGTACGGAGGCTAAGCTTCTAGGTGGGCCAAAGGATAGCTCAAGCTTCTTCAAGGAAGCTCCCCCCGCCTGAGGGAGGGGGAAGCTGAGCTTCCTTGAAGAAGCGCTCCCAATATGATTTGGTTCCTAGATTTTTAGGGAAACTTAACTGTATGGTGTGTATTGCTGTATTGATTTGGTCCTAAAATAGAAGAGGATGAGAGGAGAAGTTGATGGTCTTGCCGAAAGATTGTGGAAAGAGTCAAGTGACGTCATCCATTCGATGTTCCAAAAAAGCACAAGAAAAGAAAATAACAAGAAGCTACTAGGGCTCCTGGCCGTACTACTATGAGCAATGTTCGCTACTGGGAACAAAGGGCATCGCTACTAGGAGCAAGGACACTACTAGGGGCTCCTGGCCTTACTACTAGGAGCAATGTTCGCTACTAGGAACAAAGAAAACTTACTTTTGGTGTTTTCTTCGGTCTTTGGCGTTTTGTCCAGGACGGGCTTGAACTTGCCTCAGTGGAACCCACGGACAGTGCCTAGCAATGCAGTGCACCGGCCTGTCGGAGTCTGAGTCGATCGCTGTGGGCCAAGAATGAAAGGTCAGCGATGGCCTCCGTAATTAGAAAAGTCTTGTTCCTAGGTCCTAGTAGCTTCGTGTTCCTACTGATGGTCCTACACAAAAGAAAAGAAAGGTTTCTGCATTTTTTTGAAATGTCAGAATTTGAAAAGAATGGTGTCCTAGGCAGTTCTACTTCAGAGAAAGCAAATCGGATAGCTTCAACTGAACCACAGATCCCGGGCTTAACTACTCCGTACCACTCGGAATGAGGCATGTCTTCATCTCTTTACTTATTCTTACTTATGTGTTCTGCTAGTAGCAATCGGCTGAGAGCCCTTCTGGTCAATTTGGCTTGCTTTTACTAGATTACTAGATGTTCTTAGGTAAACAATCTACTTTTGAAGATTCTTTTTCTACCCGTTACCGCTCGCAACGAGAACATGTTCTCACAACATGTACGTCTCAACTTTCGAAAGCCCAGGTTGGACCAACACAAAATGATTCGAAGAGCAAGAAGAACGAGATCTTCGTTGACATCTTGGAGAGGATCTCGGTGACGACCTGAAGAGACATGACACCATCCGCTCTAGACAGCGGTCTCCTACCGATCGTAGGCCTCCAACCTAATAGCAAGGGCCCTCAACCTATTGGCCTCCTTACGTGTCCTTTTTATTGTTTCATGTCTTTCTTTAAATCTTCGGACCTTTTTTTTATGTCATGTCCCTTCTTTGTAGTCGATTGCGTTCTTATGATTCTTACTGAGATGTCGAGCTTTGAGGTCTTGATGAGTTCCAACGGTTTCGTCATCAATAGCTCCATTGACGGAAGCATTCAGATGAAGTTTGGGGCTCAACTCCAAAGTCTTTGTACAAAGGCAGATGAAAGCAGATGTGTGATGGTGCACAGGATGAAGTAATCTACCACATGTATTCATTTTGCAAGTATCACTTTATTGTTTCTAATTAAGTGTCTTGGTAGCTTGTCTTGTAAGAAGCCCATATTTCCCTACTGTCTTTGCATGTCTGAAGATGCTTTGGGACATGTGGGGAAACAGAAACCCACCTCTTGAAGAAGTTTCAAGCAAATGCTCCTAGTAGCGATGCCCTTTGCTCCTAGTAGCGTCCTTGCTCCTAGTAGCGATGCCAGGAGCCCCTAGTAGCGTCCTAAATGCATTGAAAGCTAAGGTTTGTTGCAACAAAACATTGATGTGTGTTGAAGTGTTGAGTTGCAACTGAGCAGGGGTTTGCGAAGAGCAAAACAGCAACAAATGTTGTTTGTTCTAAAGTCCTAGGATGCATCATATTCTTTCTCCCGCTGACCCAAGCAGCGGTTGAACCTGTGTGAGGTCATACTTGATGGGAAACCCAGAGCTCAAGCTTGCCCTCAACGAGGCCATTTGTTGCCCTCAACGTGCAAGAAAGGGTGCAAAATGCCAAGTACTTAAGCACCTAGGAGCAAGGACGCTACTAGGTGGAGGCCATTGCAAGTAGGTTGGAGGCCATCGCTACTAGTAGCTATTTGCTGATGCGCTTGTGCAAGGACATTATGGTGAAGAACATGGACCTTGGTGGAAGCCATGGAGGTTTCAAAGCGAGACGCGTTCGTACTCAATTAAGTAGGCGTTATGACTTTTGTTGGCCTCTTTAACTGTGAGCATACACATGCATACAGAAACTATTTCATCAATGGTAAGAACTATATCATATTATGAAGAAACTATTTAACATAGTGAGATAGGCACCACAGAACTAATTCTAAACTACACAGAAAATGACCGAAACTAATTTAACAACATTCCCCAAACCACAGAAACTAATTCAAAAAAAAAAGAAAAAACACAGAAACTAATTCAAAAAAAACTACAAAAACACAGAAACTAATTCAAAACCATACCCAAAAACACAGAAACTAATTCAACAACATACCCTCAAGACCACCAAAAACACAGAAGCTGATTGAACAATGTATCCAAACACCACAAACCCAAGTTTAAATACCATCCAGGACCGTCCATCTAATCAGAAAAATTGAAGAGCTCCCTCGCAAAAGGAGGCATGATGCGGCATACTCAGTGTATCAATAACAGGGGCCCTACAATCTCTTGCAGGGCATTTATTTGTAAACAAAAAGGTCAAAGGTCACTCAGAATGGAGCCAGCACCTGCCACCCCAAACAGCAAACAGGACAAGCTGGTTGCAAATGCTGCTGTGCACATGCACTTTTCCCTGCTCTTTCCACTTGGTGCCCGGTGCAAAACGCAGAGCCTAAGACTTCGTGCGTTCGTGATTCCTCTGAATCAACGCCTTCTGCCATCTGCTGCTTTGCATCTAAAGGAAAACAACCCTAGGTCTTCAAGGGATCCTGTCCAACTCTCAAAAGAAGTGAAGCTGGAATGTTGTAATGTTTGATTTCCACCTTGGAACCCTCTCTGACCGAACAGTAAGACCCCCAAGCCAAGCTGGCTGTCAAATCACACGTGGATCACTCAGAGCCACAAGCAAACAAACCAAACATCTCAGATCCCTACTACCTACAACATGACTTTCTTTGGTTGAACATATTCTGTAACTATAGAGTCCGAGCGTATGTATACAGTATACTACCAGAACAATCAGCCATCAAACAAAATGGGGCCAGCCGTCAGCAGTCTACAATCTACTTGCTATGCTTGCGCTTCTTCTTGGACGCCTCAGCTTTGCGCCTCTTGCTGGGGGCCTCCTGATCCTCACCACTCCCATCGTGCTCTGCAGATGGCCCTGGTGCTGGAGCAGCCTTGGGCTTCCGCTTTCCACCCGATTTTGCCTTCGCAGCTGCTTTGGCAGCAGGCTTGCTCTCAGGTTGCATCTTGTTGCGCAACTCCTGTGGCAGGTCAGCCTGTGACATGCCCATGGTACTCACAAAGGCCATGATCTTGGAAAGTGATCCCTTGTCGTACTCGTCAGGGTGGATAACATAGTCTAAGCATGTCATGTAAGCAAGAACCTTTGCCGATGTGCTTCTGAAGTCCTGTCTATTGAGCGTCTGACACACACACAAACAAACAAACCCAAGAATGTAAGCGGCAATAAGCAATCTCACTCTGAATTCCATCAAATGCAAGGTTGCCCAACATCAGATGAACCTGCAATGATCTGGAAACAGGTAATGTCACTAGTTCTGAAATCTTCTGAACTTCAATACGTGTAGACAGTGTAAAATGAAAATGTGGGAAGGACACAAATGAGCCAGACCAGATTGGGACACATTGCCCCCATTGTGCAACACAAAACCTGATTTGATTGGATTTGATTTGTTTTGTCAAGGAACCTTGATTGAAAAGGGTCAGGACTCAGGACAGTGAGGAACAAAAAAAAACCATCCCTGGATGACACTGTCCTCCAAAGCCCTCAGTGTTGCTGCCCACTTGTGACCGCCCCATGCATCTGGATCACCCATGTTGCCCTTGGTGGACTGCACTGCCTTGAAGAACCCGATTTGCTGCCCTAGGGTCTCCCGATACTCTTGCAAGGCGCTGGTGGAATCTGTAATCTCTGCCTTTTTCTGCTCAGTGGCTGGGTTCACCAGCCAATCCACACTGGCAATGTCCCACGCCTCAATGGCCTGGATGCATGGCCTGCCAGTGGCAACAAACGACACAAGTCAATGAACAAATGAGAAATCAGAATGAATCGAATCAATGAACAATGATTCTGTATGAAACCGTCACTGAAACCCATCTTGCCGCACTGGTTTGGTTCTGGGCCCTTAACAACGCGAACTCAAATGCTGCCCGAGCCTGAAGTTTTGAAGAGTCTTGTTGCTTGTGCCAAGGTCATCCTCTACTGTGTCCTGCAACTGCTTCAAAAGTGTGTGGAAGCTCTTGGTGAATGTCACAGCCTGATGATGCTTCTCAGGAAGCATTGTCTCCAAGGTGTCCAAGTCCAACGCCGTCACCTTCAAATACAAAGGCAAATAGACTTGCAAACCGGGGCCATTGACCTCCTTGAAGAGAATGTCGTCAATCTTCAAAGTCTTCGGAGTCCATAGGGCGCATGCTTCAATAGTGTGGATGGTGTCTCCGAACTTGGAAGGGAAAGGCGCACTGTAGTCTTTGGTAAAGATCTCAATGGCTTTCCTGTCACCATGTTCCTTGATCTGGTCGTGGAGAGAAGTTTGAAGCCCCTTCCTCAGCAAAGCCCCCAAGCGATTGACTGCGGTCTGAACACTCTGGGTGAGAGGGTAGTCGGCCAGCATGGACATGGGGATCAACTTGTCGGTTGAATCCATTGCTTTTGAAAGCTTCTGCCAAAGCTCAAGGCCCTGCTTCATGGTGACAGGGGCGTTTGTGCAGGTGTCAGCGGTGAACTTTGCCAAATACTGGGAAACCTTGGCAACCATCAAGCACTCTGCCTGTCGTGCGGTTGGAGCAGACTTCTCCAGGAAGCATTCCACCAAGCCTGCAGTGTCCGAATCCTAAACAATATTTACTGGACGGTCGCAACACAGAAACCAGCTCTGCTGAAAGTACAAGCTACCTACCTTCGACAAAATGTGTCAAATCCTCAGTTCCTGGACAACACTCAAAAAGGTCAATGAGGGAGGAAGGTTCTGCTTTGCACTGACTAGATGACATCTCAACACACCAACAAACAAAAACAAACATGTGACCTGTATAATATACAGTCAGTAAGTAATTGACAAATCGAATTTATATTATCATTGGACTGGCCTGAGAGTAGTTTTTTTTGAAACTCATGGCCTGCATAGCAAGCTGAGCCAATATCTTTGAAAAGCAAATTGGGCTGGTGAGCTGACAACAACAAAGAGACAGTGCCCTGCTCGGAGTTGGTGCCATCTTGATCCGGAAGCCATTGCGCGAGCATGAAATCCTGGTAGGTCTTGGCACTATCTGTCATGGATGGAGACTTTGCCTTGAAGTTCTGCAGGGCATTGCACAAGTCATCCCTGATCTGAACATCTGACTCAGGCAGCGAATCCGCCCCCTCCAAGAGGGCTTTGCAATCTGGGACCTCCGTCAAGCTTTCAAACTTCTCCATGATGCTGGCTGTCACTGGCTCCAGACTTTCCATGGCAGCTTGAACTTCTGCACATGCCTTGGTCAAGACAACTGCCTTGCTGGCTGCAGACTTGAGGTCAATGATTGTCTTGGAGATTTCAACGACTCGCTGCCACATGCGCCTGCAAAAAGAAGCAGTGGGATAACCAAGGCCAATGTAACACATCCTAAAACATTGAACACGTGAAAACCCAAGCAATGTACCGAGCAGAAGGCTCAACCACCCCCGAAGGTCACGTGCCTCAAAGGCTCACTGCTTTTGAAGACCAAAGAGGTGCGGGCACTGTAGGCTGTGCCACTTGCCACAATCTTCAATTGCTGCTTGGCCTTGTTGTCGAAACTGGGATTGTGAAGTAGCGAGCTGCAGGCAATGAACTTCTGCATGTCAAGCAAGCTCCTAGTGTTGATGCCAGTCTTGTTGGAAATTGACTCGTCCGCACAGTCAAAGGTCAATGCCGCAGCAGCATCAATCGGGGTCCTGTGTTGCTTCAAGCCCACCCCCAGAAGCAGCAACAGAACCTATTAAATTAATACTATTAACTTTTAACCTACTTGATTGATGACCAGCCCAGCCTAAGCTGAGTCCTAAAGTCTTGAGCCTACATTTGCACTCTTTTTGCCCCCTTCTTCTCCCCCTTTCAAAACCCAACCAAAGGCGGACACAACAAACAAATGGACAAAGCTGGGGAGGGTTGGCGAGGGTTCAAAACATGAATGGGCAGTGGCCTACGCCTACGTTACCTATTCCCTTGTTTTGGCAATGGCAGTCCTGACAATCTCTGGCAAGTACCAAGCCTGTGGCACTGTGAGCAAGATGGACTCACACTGGTCACAACTGATGCCTCGGAGTTTGTCCATCCAAAAGTTCAGGGCATTGCTTTGCACCTGCGCCAAGGTGGCCCTCCGCTCAGGCGTGGTGGCCAACACATGAAGCCCAAAACCATGGTAGTCCAAAGGCTCAATGGACAGGAAATCGAAAAGCAGGCAGCTCTGACTAGCAATGTTGGCCTGCAACGACATGGGCCAAGACATGCTTGGCTTTGGCTACAAGACATTGACTCAACATTGACATTTACACCAACTAGGCTGCCAGGTCAGGCTGAGGTAGCAACAGGGTTCAAGTTCTAATTATATAAATAGACTGTGCGACTGGCTGACATGACAAATCTAAGAAAGACAGCAACTGGCACGGGGTGCTATGTGACTGGACAAAGTCCTGCCTCTACCAGCCGCTTGGCAATGTCTGTCAAGAAGGGAAAGTGCTGATCCGCTGACAGGTTGTTCATCATGTTAAGCAGGGCATCCTTGCTCTCTACCAAGAAAACAGAAGGGCTTGCCTGGACAGATCGGACAAGCTCATTCTCCTGGGAGACCCTGTTGACCTCTTTGTTCAAAGAATTGGCCAGCTCAGTTGCGGATTCAGCATTTCGGCCCTCAAGCTTTGTGACCAAATCCACAGCTTTCTGCACACGGGAATCAATGTCCTTCTGCTTCAATTGCTGGTTCAACATGGCTACCGCAGACAC